CCAGGGCGACACAGAGAATCCGGAGGGCCAAGGCAGAACTGAATGCTCAGGCGACAGAGGCGGAGGCGGAGCGACTGAGGATGGAGGCAGAGCTGGAGGAAAGGAGGAGCCTGACAGAGTCAGAGGGACGGAGTGACGAGGCTAAGCCAGAGGAGTGGCGTCCCGAGGCAGCGGATGGTCAACGACTGACCAAGGCGGAGCCGGAGAGACGAGGGAGCCCGGTGGAGCCAGTGGGATGACGGGCCACAGTGGAGACGAGGGAGCTAGGAGCCAAGGCGGTGCTGATGGGTCAAAAGACCGAGGTGGAGTCCAGGACTTGGAGGCTGGAGGCGGAGACAGGGGATCCTCATGCCTAGGCAGAGCTGGAGACTGGAGGTCCTGAGGCGAATCAGAGCACTCAGATGGCGCTGACTGAGGGTGAGCTGAGGGACTGACAGGCACCAGCAGGGATTGGGCTGAGGAACTGGCTGGTTTTTGAAGAGGAGGCGGGAGAGGGAGGCTGGGAGGGAACACAGGAGAACAGGAGCTGGGCAGAACCAGCGGAGACGCAGGTGATTCAGGGCTGGGCGGAACCAGTGGAGACACAGGAGAACTGGGTATTACCTTCCCAAACCAGTCTATTAAGTCCATTTGAAAAATGTCCATTAGTTCCTTATAATAATTCCCAGAGGCCAGCTGCAGCTCACCCTCAGTGTGGGCAGGGCTTCCCTCCAAGCCCTCGCTCTCCACCAGTACTCCCTCGGGGACGGGCGATGTTGCCGGCTCACGCACCTGGTCAGAACGGTCTTGAGGCTCAGGCTCCGGGGCAACGATCGGCTCAGTAGCGGGTATGTGTACTGGCTCACGAAACAAAACAAAAAAGAAAGAAAAACGCCGCTAAATTTACTCACTTGAGGGTCTGCTATTCTGTCACGGAATGTGTTAATTAAAGCGCACGACGAAGGAGAAATCCAAATCAGAGTCTTTTAATAATACATCCACACTAGAAACAGGAAGAATCCAGGAGCAAGTTTGGGTAGCACAACACGTAGACACAAACAATAGCAGACAAAGGACCAGGGGAGAACACAGGACTTAAGTACTAGGAGATAATTAATAAACACAGGTGGAACCAAATTAACTAATCAGGGCAACTCAGGAAAACTAGGTCAAAGGAAGACTAAGGCAGGAAAACAGGAACACAAACAAAAGTTTGCAAATTGTGATATGGACTACTGTATGAAAACTAAATCACAAAAAGACTGCTATTTAAATATGAATTCTGCATGTTCTGCGTGTCTCTGTATGAAGGAATGGGACAGGTTTTCACACATATTCAAGCATCTGTGACTCTCGTGGTGTTTTCAGCATCTGAGAACTTCATCTCCAGAGCTGCTCTCAGTGCTCTGAGAGTCACTTCATCAACATTTCACCATTTAATATGAGAAAAACTATCGTCACATCATATACACAGAAATTCCAAGGTTTTTATGACAACCCGTCAAAATAAAAGTTCGGATTAACTTGAAGAAATTGTGACAGAAATATTTTACAACAGTACAGCAGGATGAACTTACTCACAATAGTAGTAGTAATAATAATAATACAATTTTTAAAACATTATTTTTTATAATCAAAAATTTTCTTCAGTGTTTTAATTTTAACAGTAAACCTATGTTTTGCAGTACTCTTTGCCAAAAAATAAATAAAAATAATCTTTTAAGATTTCATTTTAAAAGATTAAACAGGCACCAGGGATTTTTGGAAAAATGCTAGATTTTGACATCAAGATTTCAAAAGCTTGTGGCTTGAAAGGGCTTAAAGATAGAGATCTACTGTAAATTAGAAAAATATTGGGCATGACCGAAAGTTTATGTGGGGTGTAAATATACTCGTCTAATTTGCATATTATGACGTCATCATGGGGCGGCCATCTTGAATTTCATAATATTCAGGAAATAGTAGATATTGAATTGATGTTTGAACTTATTTGCATTTTTTTTTTGTCTTTTTATCCTCATTTCAAATGACCAAAAAAGAGGAAACAAACAATAAAACAGGAGAAAGTACTAAATTATTACTAGATAACCAACAGGCTCATCAAAGCTTTTGATCCAGTCCTGATACACTTCTTCATTTCTCAAATAAACCCAGTCACCATTGTCATCGCTATTTCCAGCCCTATTTAGATCTAGATCACCCCTGCTACCTCTACCATGTCTCCCGGCTCTCCCACACACAGCACGGCCACGTGTACCTCGGCCACTCCCACCTCTTTGGGGCACTGGATCCAGAGTCGCTCTGACTGGATCCAAAGAGCTAGTGCTACTTCCAGCCCTACTTCTCCTACCCCTGCTGCCTCTAATTCTAGCAACAGCTCTCCTATGGACACTACGACCACGTCCACCCCTGCCACCCCCATCCCCGTTGGGCAAAGGGTCGAAATAATCACTTGTTTGTGCTTCGTGAACACTCGCGCCTTGTACGGCGGCACCACTGCGCTGCAAAGATGTACCGGGAGAAGCGCGATTATTAGACGACCGATCGTCATTTCCAAAAGGCAAATATTCCCCTTCAGAGTCAGAATCGGTGAATAACATTTGCAACACATCCTCAGGGTACAACTTTTTATTAGCCATTTGGCGATTTTCTCTCACAAATTTCACAATTTACTCGCACGCTATGAACTGAACTGCTTCCGCATCAATGACACGATAGCTCACTTGCTCTGCTATTTCCTCAAACACTTTGAATAGGAACGTGACATAATTTTGGTCTAAAATTGAAGTACTACGTGTCTGCCATCTAGTGGTAGGGAATACAAATGAGATATTACACTATATTAGGAACTACAGTCTATTTTATTAAGTATGACATCTTCTCGCAATTTTGCGACTTCAGCATTTATAAGTTTAAATAGCTAAAGTCTGAATTTGGGAACAATGAAATGGAAGTTGAGAAATGGCTCTTAATTTTTTTTTTTTTTTACATTTCTAATAAATTGTTGTTAAATGGTATAAGTTGTTTTATTTCAATTAATTAGACATACTTTTGATTACAAAAATTTTATTTAACTAATCAAACAGAGTCCAGAAAAATTTTAACAGAAAAATAAATTATAAAAATAAAACTGAATCCAGAGTATAAACTCTAGCAAGCGTATGCTTGATCACTGTTACAATTATGAGAGGGTCCTTGGAAAAATGTCCTACTCTTCAAGGAGTTCCTGGCCTCAAAAAGTTTGAGAACCACTGGTATAAATAAAGCTGGCATATGTTAGCCTTGTGAACATTTCCCGTAGTTGAGTTTATCCTGACGGTGCACTTCTGGATCTCGTCCTCAGATGCAATGCTGTCATGTTTCCTGTTTACACCTGTCACGCATGTCAGCCGGAGGTCAGACACACATCTTTATGACACCTGCAAGTAGACAGGTACACCTGCCGCAATTTCCCCACCACATGTTTCTGTCATGAAGCAGATTCTCTTCTATCCTGATGCTCTTTTTTCCCCATCACTACACCAACAGAAAATGAGCATCCTGTAATTCCCTTAATAACGCGCTCTGTTGTTCAACTTTGCATTAAAGCTCTGGAATGGGTTTTTCATTGTTACCGGGTATTGATTGTATTTAAACTACATATTGTTGCTTGTAAATGGAAATTGCCTCAGCATCGGGGAAAGTTCAGTTATTAGCTCAGAGCTCAGGAGAGCATGACAACACAGACTCTGATGCTACTTCCACGCAACCCCCGAGGGTTACATTTGACCGTCGGCCCCAAAAATAAAGTGTTTTTTATCTTTTACAAAAGAAACAGAGTAGGAAATGTAGAGTACAACAATGACACTACTTCCCTTCATTATAACAGCTAAAGCACCATGTTAGCATGCAAATTAAAGCAACAGCGCTAAGGAAGTATCATTCAAAAGTTTGGGTTTGGTAGTTTTTTTTTCTTTTTTTAAAGAAGTTTCTTATGCTCATCTAGGCTGTATTTATTTAATATATTATTTGATATTCAAAAGTACAGTAGAAACAGTATTATATATTACAATTTAAAAAACCTTTTTAATTTGAGACCTTTGTTTGAAATTGAAATCTCTTGTTATAAATAAAATTTGAAGTAACAAACTTTTGTTTAATTTAATATAATGCAACAAATCTTACAGTTTTGTATATACGTGTGTGTGTGTGTATATATATATATACAATATATAAATATACACACATATATATACAATATATGCATATACATGCACTAAGTAATTAGTTTGAGCTGTCAGACAGTCTGAACAGAAAACTCCTCTCAAAAAAGCAGTATTTAAAAACAAAAATCAAAGCTGTTTTGAACGCTGAATCATATGTAGCCTAAATGTCACCTTAGAAGATCATCTCTGGTCCAGTGAACACAAAAACGGGAAGATCAAATACATCACATGTCAAGTAAAACGACCAGTGTGCATGTAAACATATTTGTGCATAAATACTGCAGAAGTTGAACAATACTTGAATAAATAAGCAGGCGGTTATGGTGTGGTTGGTTTGTTTATATTTGAAGGTGTTTCTTCCTCTTACATCAGAATTTTTCATCCTTATAGTTCCATCATTGTTTCGTCGGTTCTGCTACCTTTCATGTCTTAATTTGCATCAGCTCAGCGCGCATTTCATGTGACACATCTCGCGTTTGTCTTCCCGACCATTATTCAGTTCTGGAAATGTCTTTTTTGTGTATGTGTGCATTTCTGAGCGTGAATACTTCCCAGATGTCTTTGCGACTCAAAGCCACTAAAAACAAAAGCATTGTGGGGGGAAAAACGGCTTTCGCAGGCACCTGCTGTTTTTCTCGTCTGTTCATCTGCCTCCACTCTGGGCTTCCCCGAGTCACCCTGGAACCTGTCGCTTTTACTTTTTGCAAGATGAAATCTATCGACAATGCAAGACCCCCCTCCTGTCTTAACTTTTGATGGAGAGTGGGGGGCAGAGGATGAAGAAGGTACCATGAGATAAAGCAGGTGAGCTCTCACCTTGAGGACGTCCTCATCTGTGGAGATGCAGGTCACGGGGTCATCAACCTCTCTCACCGTTCCGTCCTGCTCCACGGTAACAACCTTGACCGGGATGGCAACGCGCCGTCCGGTCAGAATCGCTGTGTTCAGGATCTCTGTGTCCTATGTGAGACAGACATTTGCCATTTAATTTATATATACACACACACACATATATATATATACATTCATATAAATATAATCACAATATTCTAATTATTTACATATAAATATTATAATTAGGGCTGTCAATCGATTAAATTTTTTTAATCAAATTAATTACACAATGTGGCGATTAATTGATCTGTTTAATCGCGTATCAACTAACACTTTGAATAGGCTTTTATTAATATGGATGTTTTATTTTTAGTTTTAGATTTTTTTTTATCGTATTAGTAAATATGAAATCATTTTTAATAAAATTAATCTCTAAATAAGATACTAAAACTACCAGTAGGTGGCAGTAAATGTCTTAATGAATAAGTCATTCATTCATTCATTTAGGTCTGTGACGGTGACAGATTTTTACCACGGCAGTGGTAATGGACTAAAAATTACCGCCGGTGGTGCGGTGTTGATAGGCTATATATATAATTAATATTAGTTATATATGTAATTTATGTATAAAAATTATATTTATATATATA